CTGTATATGTGTGTGTGTTGGGGGGGTGCGGTGCATGACTGAGAGAGTGAGAGAGACAGTGTGTGTGAGTGTGTGGGGAGGGGGTGTGGAACTTGGTCAGATAGTTCTTCCAGAACAGTGAGCTAAACCAGTGTGTCTCAGAACAGAGACCCCAGAGCATTAATGGAAAATTGCTTCTTTTGTGGTTACTTGTGACAGAGTGTAAACATTGAAGGCCATTATCTTCTTCGCCATGTTTCAGCTTTAACGGAACATTATAGTTCATTGCTTTGTTTAATTTCTACAGGGTGCAGTCTCTCTCCAAGCCAGGAATGAGTGCAAGCTCCCTCTTCAAATTGAGTCCGTATGCACCACACCAGCTATGACCCGTTTAAATTCTCATTAAAGCACAGGGCAGTCAGTTTATTTGCTGGTGAAACTCAGCAGGTCCAGCAGCATTTGTAGGGAAGAAACAGTTAACATTGAGGCCAACGATTCTTCGGATTCATATCAGCCGCAAAACAGTAACTTTGCTTCACTCTCCATGGATGTTGCCAGACCTGCTGAGATTCACCAGCACTTTTCGTTTTTATTTCAGATCTCCAGCATCTGCAGCATTTTGCTTTTATTCTCAAGTTTATCTCTCGTTTGATCAGTTACTGGGTAGATTAGTAAGTGTTGAGCTGCAGAATGCAGCTTTCTCAGCAGGTCTGCCAGCATCTGTGGAGAGAAATCAGACTTAACGTTTCAGGTCCAATGATCCTTTCTCACAACTGATGGTAGCTAATAAAAAGTTAGTTTTTATGCAGAAGATAGGGTGGTGGGAGCAGGTAAGGAGTAAACGATAGGTAGGCATCGAGCCCAAAGAGAGAGAGAGAACAGTTGGACAAAGGAGTGGATAATGATCAGCCTGAGAGAATGAGTAGCTGCTAATGGGCACTATTAGGGACTAACAACAGGTTGTGCGTAATAGCAGACTATGTGATAACAAGAGATAGCAAGAACTGCAGATGCTGAAGTCAGAGCTAACAGTGTGGAGCTGGAGAATCACAGCAGGCCAGGCAGCATCAGAGGAACAGGAAAGTTGACGTTTCGGGTTGGGACCCTTCTTCAGAAATGGGAGAGAGGAAGGGAGCTCAGAAAGAGAGAGGAGGGGTGGGGCTGGGGAAGGTAGGTGGGATGGTGATAGGTGAGTGCAGGTCGACAGAGGTGGGGATTGGTCAGTGAGGTGGGAGAGAAGATGGACAGGATGTGTCAGGTCAAAGAGGCGGGGATGAGAGCGAGGGTTGGACATGGAATGAGGCCAGGGGTGGTAGATTTTAAAACTGATGAATTCCATGTTTAGGCCATCGGGCTGAGGCAGAATACGAGGTGCTGCCCCTCCAGGATGGACGTGTGGGGGTGGGTGTGGGTGTGGGTGTGAAATTGGTTGGCTTGATGGGTGGGGGTTGGGGTAAGGACATGGGAGAAGTTGCCTCAGGCCCTAAAATGTTTGAACTTGATAGAGTCCTGAAGCCTGTAGAGTTCCCAAGCGAAAAATGAGGTGCTGTTCGTCCAGCTTGCACTGAGCTTTGTTGCAACACTGCAGCAAGCCTGAGACAGAGAAGTTGTCCAGGGAACATGGTGGTGTGTTAAAGTGGCACGCAACTAGAAGCTCAGAGTCTTTTTTGTGAGCAGAATGTAGATGTTCTGTGAAGTGGTCCCCCAGTCTATACTGCATTTCCCCAGTGTACAGGAGACCACATTGTGAGCAGCGAATGCAGTAAGCTAGATTGTGGGAAGTGCAGGTAAAGTGCTGCTTCACCTGGAAGGTGTGTTTGGGCCCTTGGACACTGAGGAGGGAGAAAGTAAACGGGCAGGTGTTACACCTTTCTGCGGTTGCAGGGGAAGGTGCTGTGGGGGAATGGGGGGAGTGAAGGAAGAGTGGGCCAGAGTGTCCAGGAGGGAACAGTCCTTGTCTGATGGTGGCAGCTAATAATCCTCTGGATGTGGATGTTGGTGGGATGGTAGGTGAGGACAAGGCAGACCCTATCGCTATTGTGGGAGGGAAGAGAAGGGGTGAGGGCTGAGGGCTGAAGTATGGTAGATGGATTGGATCCAGCAGAGGGCCCTGTCGACAACAGTTCTGGGGAATCCTCTGCTGAGGAAGAAGGCAGACATTTCACAGGCCCCTTTGTCAAAGTTGGCATCATCAGAACAGATGCAATGGAGACGGAGGAACTGGGAGAATGGAAGAGGCTTTACGGGAAGCAGGGTGTGAAGATGTATGTTCAAGGTAACTGTGGGAGTTGGTGGGTTTGCAGTGGATATTAGTGACCAGCCTATCCCCAGAAATGGAAACAGAGATGTTGAGGAAGGGAAGAGAGCAGTCAGAGATGGCCCAGGTGAAGGTGAGGGTGGAGTAGAAATTGGAAGTGAAACTGATAAATTTTTCCAATTCCGAATGAGAGAGGGAAGCAGCACTGATGATATCATTAATACATGGGAGAAAAGGTTGTGGCTGGGGGCTGAAATAGGACTGGAACAAGGAATGTTCCACATACTTGACAAAGAGACAGACATAACTGGGGCCCATACAGATACCCATGGTCACCCTTCTGACCTGAAGAAAGTGAGAAGTGTTAGAAGAGAGATCGTTCAGGGTGAGGATGAGCTCGGCCAGGCGGACGAAGGTGGTGGTGGATGGGGATGGTTCAGGCCTTTGTTCCAGGAAGAAGCAGAGAGCCCTGAGACCGCCCTGATGGGGGATGGATGCGTAAAGGGATTGCACATCCTTGGTGGAGAGAGGCGGCTGGAGCTGGATGTAAAACATCAGATGATTTACGGATGTAAGCGAGAACAGACTGGACAAGGGGAGTAAAAAACCAAGTGAAGGTAGGAAGAGATGAGTTCTGTGGGGCTGGAGCAGGCAGAAACAATGGGTCAGCCTGGGCAGCCCCGTTTGTGGATTTTGAGAAGGAGGTAGATGTGAGCTGTGCGGGGTTGGGAGACTATGGGCTTGGATGCAGTTGGGCACGGGGGATGGTGGTGGGAATCAACCAGATGACATGAGGTTAGTCACCATTGTGGACACGGTGGCCTGATATTCCATGGTGGGGTCATGGGGAGACAGGAGGAGGTATCTGAGAGCTGGCGCTCAGCCTCTGCAATGTATCGGTCGGTCTGCCAGACAAGAACAGCACCACCCTTGTCAGCAGAGCACTGAGTGTAATCAGTTCATGGGAGATAGGTTGGAATGGGTGAGGGTGTTAGAGAAACTGAGGCAATCAATGTCACGTCAACAATTCTCAATGAACAGGTCAAGGGCAGGTAAAAGGCCAGAGGGAGGGGTCCAGGTGGAGGGAGAGTGTTAGAACTGGGCGGAGGGATCTGTGGGACAGGGAGAAAACTCTTGTCCAAAGAAACAGGCACCGAGGTGAAAGTGATGGAAGAGTTCAACGTCAGGTAGTGCCCAAAATTCATTAAGGTGGGGACTCAGAGGGATAAAACTGAGACCTTTGCTGAGGACATCAGAGAGCAAAAGGTCAGGAGGTATAGTGAACACATGATAGGAGGTGGGGTTGGGAGAGGGGATGGAGTCAGAGGGCCATGGGTATCTCTAGATTGTCAAGTTCAATTTCTTGACCACGCAGGCCCTGCCTTCTCAACCTGAGGTATGGTGACCTCAAGTTAAAGTTATGAGTAGCTGCTTCCCTCTAATCAAAGAACAGACTGTATCATTATCTGGGACTATGGTGACTGTCACTTTCGCTGGGTGGGCATTTGGCTGTGGTGATAACAGTAAGGTTGTGTTCTCTATTAGTATAGGACGAGTGACAGAAATCTAGAGGTTGCCGTCAGAGGTATCTACCCCTGTACAGGATGCCCTGTTGCAGTCCTTGCTTGGAGACTTAGCACTAAATAGACTGCAATGACACAAACCTTCTCATGAATTCCAGTCTAAAAGCAACGTAAAGATTATGGTTAGTACATTCAGCAGTGCGGATTTTATGATTGGTTTGATAAGTGACAAATAATAAGCAGCCTCTCTGAAAAAATAAATTTCTTCATTGGAGTTGTTGGTTGATTCACCGAGCTGACTGGTTTTCATGCTAACGTTTTGTCGCCCTTCTAGGTGACATTGTCAGTGCTGTGTAACCTCTTTTGAAGCGCTGTTATTCTGACCTGCTCTGAATTTATATGGTCCGGTCTGTCATGTCCAGCAGTCTTGTTCCTAGTTTTGTACTGTAATGGTATGTAAACCACTTTGATAAAGATAAGCACGAGAACTCCTGGAGGGCAGGTTTTCAACCACTGATGCAACTAACAAATGTGTTAAAATTGACCCAATCTGCATTCAGAGCAGAATGACAAGGTTGGAGGAGATGCAGGTGAAGCTCTGTCTCAGCTGGAAGGGCTGTTTAGGG